GGATCGAGTCCCGCATCGGGCTCCCTGCTCGGCAGGGAGTCTGCTTCGTCCTCTGACCCTATCCCCTCTCATGTGTTCTCTCTCTCTCAAATAAATAAATAAAATCTTTAAAAAAAAAAAAAAGGTATTTTTCTGGGAGGAAAACTGTCAATAAGCGTTAAATGCCTTAAATATGTTCACACCTTCTGTCCTTAATAGGATTTCTAGGATTTAACCTCAGGCATTAATTAGACATATAAACAAAGAGTTTAATGTATGAAGATGATCATTCTAGTATTTTTAGTAGAGACCAACTGAAAACAAAGTAGGATACAAAACTAGATTATGATTCTAATTTCATATATTTATATGTATACAGGAAATATGGTTGTGTGTGTGTACTCTGAAAGACTCTAAAATGTTATAGTTGTTATCTCTATGAGATCAGGTGATCTTTATTTTATTTACGTATTTCCGTGTTTTTCAAGTTTTCTATGACAACAGCCATAAATTTATAATTAGGAAAACTTTTTAAGAAAGTTCAGAATGTTCAGGATATTTTCTACAGAGAATTACTTGTAACCCAGATATCATTAACTCCATGTATTCCTACACCCCAGAATAAATATAAGACTGAATGTTCAAATTAGAACCTTGGATTCTTCTAACAACTTATCTTTATGCCATCTTTATTAACTGTTCAGGCCAAAAAACCTAGGAATCCCCTTGCCTTTCTCTTTCCTCACATCTAATTAATCAGCATCCTGCCAGTTCTAACTCCAAATGGATTTAACCAATTCTGTCTCCACTGCTAGTAACTATAACCCAGTCAGTCACGAGCATTTGTCCCCTAACTCATCTCCTTGCCTCTATTTTGCTTCCCACCCCCTACCACTCCCTACACACCATTTCTTTTCATACAACAGTCCAAGTGAGTTTTTTCTAATCAGATCATGTCCTTCTCCTGCTTAAAGCTCCACATGGCTACCTAGTACAATTAGGCCCAACATGACCTGGCTCCTGGCTGACTCCATGACCTTACGTCCTATGATGCTTTCCCTCGTTCACTCTCCTCCAGTGGTTCAGGCCTCACTAGTCCTCAAACTTGCCAACCTTGTTCCTATAAGGGCGTATGCACTAGTTACTCCTATTGTCAGGAATGTTTTCCCCAAATATTCCTATAAGTGACACCTTCTTTTCACTTAGCATCAGCTTCAATACTGTCTCCTAAGAATGGATAACCACTCTAGCTAAAGGAAACTGTCCCTCTAGTTACTTTCTCCTCCTTCCAGCTGTTCCTCCTCTGAACCACAGGACACGGAAAATTATGTGAGTGAGTATTTTCTCAATTCTCTCAAGGGTGGTACGAAAGTAGTATCATTTTAGATGCATAGGAAAAGTTCATTCATTATAATTGAAGTCTAAGGACAGCAGTTGGGTACCTGGGCAGCTCAGGAGGTTAAGTGTCTGCCTTCGGCTCAGGTCATGATCCCAGGCTCCTGGGATCGAGCCCCACATTGGGCTCCCTGTTCAGCAGGGAACCTGCTTCTCCCTCTACCTCTCCCCCCTGCTCTTGATCTGTCTCTCTCTCTCTCACACTCTCTCTCAAATAAATAAAATCTTAAAAAAAAAAATAAGGACAGCAGTTCTCCAACTTTTTAGTCTCAAGACCCAAATATGTTCTTAAAAATCATTAAACAATCCCAAAAAGCTTCTGCTTACATAGGTTATATATATCAATATTTACCATATTTAAAATGAAAAATAAGAAATATAGAACATTATTTGTTAATTCACATAAAAATAAGAAACCAGGGGCGCCTTGGTGGTACAGTCGGTGTTGAGCGTCCAACTCTTCATTTCGGCTCAGGTTGTGATCTCCGGGTCGTGGGATAGAGCCCTGTGTTGGGCTCCACGCTGGGCTTGGAGTCTACTTGAGATTCTCTCTCTCTCCCTCTTCCTCTGCCCCTCCCCCTACATGTACTCTCTCTCTCTCTCAAATAAATAAATAAATCTTAAAAAAAAGGAACCAATTACATATCAACATAAATGAAAAGACTATTTTTCAAAGCAAAAAGTAAAAATTTAGTGAGATGAGCAGCATTGTCTTATGTTTGTAAATTTTTTTTTATATACCTTAATTTAAAAATATTTTATTGCTAAAAAATGTTAACCCTCTTCTGAACTTTCAGTGAGTCATCAGCTTTTTGCTGATGGAGGGTCTGTTTGTAAGTTTTTTCAATGTTTGACTTTAATAGAAGACTGCTGGATTATTATATCTGCTTCTACATTCAATCTGTTGCAATATATTGCCTGAAGTATATGAAGAAAGTCTGTTCTAACACAGATAAGTATTTGGAAATGGAGGACTTAAATAGCTTTTTCACGTAATTGTGGATATTTTTCTTTGACACTACATCAAAACTTGAGAGGTTGTAGTTTCTTAAAGGTTAGCTATAATGCAAACTCAAACCATATTAATTAACCTTTTGTACTATTATATTAAATCCAGTGGTTTATCTTGCACTTAGGATGGATTTTTCAGCCATGCATAATTTTCACTTGAAAGCTTGAATTTTGTCACTGGCAATAAACAATCAGTTGTTTTCTTTTAAGTGACAGGCTCACTTCATTAGTTTTTTTAGGAAATGTTGCCAAATACCTAAGTGTAGATAACCACAGTGATCAGTCATTCTTTTAAGTAAAAATTGTCTGTGAGAAAAGTGGCTAGTTCAGTTCACAACTCAAATGATAACTTCAGTGCCTTCCCTCCAGATAACCATCAGATGTGAGTATGTGGCAGAAGCACTCTCTGTGCGCTTCCCATTTTGTCACACAGATCAAAAAGGTGTGCCCTCAAGGGTCAAAATTAATAAAATCAGTATTTTTACCTCTTTATCAAAAATTTTAAGTGAAAAATGGCATTAAAAAATTTTTTTTTATTGGGGTGCCTGGCTGACTCGGTCAGAAGAGCATGTGACTCTTGATTCGGGGTTGTGAATTTGAGCCCCACACTGGTTATAGAGATTACTTAAATAAATAAAACTTAAAAACAAACTTTTTTTTGTATTGACTACTATAGTCTGCTAGTACAGTAGGTTGCCTCTGCCTTGACTCATGCTAAGATACAAGGAGTTTTACTCACCAATGTTTTTGCAACAACACTGCAAATGTCAACAGAGTGAAAATGGCAATTAATGTCTTAGTACTATTATGAAAATTGAATTTTGAGCCTTTAAAAGGGTCTCAGGAATAGGATTGCCAGATATAGCAAATAATAATACAGGATGCCCAGTTAAACTTGAATTTCAGATAACAAATACTTTAGTATAAGTATGTCCGAAATATTACATGGAATATTCAGATTCTAAAAATATTATTTCTTAGGGGAGCCTGAGTGGTTCAGTTGGCTAAGCATCTGACTCTTGGTTTCAGCTCAGGTCTTGATCTCATGGGTTGTGGGACAGAGCCCTGTGTTGGGCTCCCCGCTCAGCAGGGAGTCTGCTCCCCCCTCTTTCTCTCCCTCTGCCACTCCCCTGGCTTGTGCACTCTGTTTCTCTCTCCCTCTGGAATAAATAAATAAATCTTAAAAAAAAAAACCCACTAGTGAAATTATCTTATTTATTTGTATTACTTACTGTCTCCCTCAAGAACATAAGCTCTGTTAAGGGAGGGACCTTGTCTGTCCTGCTCATCACTATATCCTTAGAGCTTAGAAAAGGCCTGGCACAAAAGAAATTCTGTAAGTATTTTCTTGAATGATTGAGTGAATAAGTAACTTAGGACTGGTGTGACACCAATGCTCACAGGGAATGAGCAGGTAGAGCTGAGACAGAGCAGGGATCCCAGAGTTCTGAGGGACTGCAAGGGTTCTCATCTGCTAGGTACTTGCTGTTTACTCAATAGGGCAGAGGCCCAGGACCATCCAAAGTGGGATTAGAAAATGTGGTGCTCTAGGTTTCAGCTCAGAAAGGGCTTAGGGACTATGGACCAAAGAAAACAGAAGGGAAAAGGGCATTCTAAAAAAATGCTATCCCTGTAGCCCAGCTAAAGCTCTCTACCTTCACACATTATCTCCAGGATAGATCTCAACATGCCTTATGAAAAATAACGATCTTTAGAAGAATATATAGGGAAGAAAGGGAGAACAGAATCAGGCAGCCAAGGCCTTAACGGCAAATAGAATGTGTGAATCTTCTATTCACTGCAGGCAGCTAAGAGGTTCTGAAGTTGTACCTATAGGCAACCAAGAAAGCAGAGACTCTTCGAGGGCTTACAGAATTGGAATTGTGGTGGGTGCTGATTTCAGTATTTTCTCATGAGAACTACGTATCTTAAAAGAACTGTATCTTCTAAAAAAAAAAAAAAAAAAAAAAGAACTGTATCTTCTAATCTTTATTCTGAATTATGAAGTTCTGCCAGAAATACTGGGATACTTCAAACAATGTCCAAACTTTCCTAGCTGTAGCTAAGTGTGTGGTTAGTTTACTTGGCATGGTCTTGGTTTTAGAAAATAAGAGTTATAAAACATATTTTAAAAACATACAATTTCTCAATTACCTGAAATATTAGGTTTCTTTTTCATTGGCGAATAAACAGAAAACATCCACTGCCCTGATGATTCCCAAATTTCCATATCTTTTATAATTCCTTCCCTGGGGGAAAAAAAAGAGCAAAGGATCTTTTTCATTTGCTTATTAAAATTTATTGTTTATAATTTTCAATGACTGAAATTTTAAATTGTAGTAAATATATAATTTTATATTTTTTTTTAAAAAAGATTTTATTTAGTTTAGAGAGAGAGTACACGTACAAAGGGAGATGCAGATGGAGAGGGAGAGGGAGAAGCAGACTCCTCGCTGAGGGTGGAGCCCGACACGGGGCTCAATCTTAGGACCCTGAGATCACGACCTGAGCTGAAATCAAGAGTTGGATGCTTAACGCACTGAGCCACAGGCGCCCCTAGATTTTTTCCATTGTATTTTCTGAAGACTATTTTTTTTTTAAGACTTTATTTGACAGAGAGATAGAGAGCACAAGTAGGCAGAGAGGCAAGCAGAGGGAGAGGGAGAAACAGGTTCTCTGCTGAGCAGGGAGCCCGATGCAGGGCTTGACCCCAGGATCCTGGGATCATGATCTGAGCCGAAGGTAGCCACTTAACCAACTGAGCATCCAGGCGCCCCTGAAGACTATTCTTTAAAGCAGAATTTATGAACTAAGAACTCTATTTCATGATTTTAACTATTACAGTATCAAAGAAGTTCACAGTTTTGGTTTTCCAGTAAACTAAACCATTAGTCAATAGATTTGGTAAGTGAAACTATTAAACTATACATATTTTAAAGAACTAAAATAAAATGTACAATACTAACTTTAATCTTTCTTTGTTCATTATCATAAACATCAATGATCATTTAACTGGAAAAAGACAGAAAGCACCACGCAATATAGAACCATAAAATTTTTAAACTGGGTAGGACTTTAGAGATCATTTTGTCTAATTCTCATGTTTGCAAAAGGGGACAACAGACCCATGCCCATATAGTTAATTTATTGGCAAAGCGGTGGATAGATTCGACTCTAAATTCAATGTTTCCCTCTCCCATCCAGAATGCTACAATTAATAAAATGATAGCTACCACAGAGATATTGTATTAAATTCAGGATTTTTACAACATCAAATATAGGAACGAGGGCTTTATTTTCTCTTTTACCTTTTAAAAAAAAATCAATTGTATATGATACATGGCTCAAAATCTTTTCCACTCATTCTAATTTATTATGGGAAATAAAAGACTAATGGCTTTTAAGTTCTGTCCTGGGACCTGAGGCAACAGTTACAGAAAGCCAGGGACTATTTTGGCACCAGTCACACATTCTACCATGATCAGGAAATAATAGGGAATCTTCACAGTAGTGAAGGAAATCAAATGAAACCAGTTTCAATGGAGTAGCTGAATTAAAAGTTTTAGGAAGAAATATACCAGCTGCTGTAAGTGACCACCAAAAGTACAAACTGCTTTAAATTACCTCATACTTTGTAAAGAACTAATATTATACAACAAACTTAAGCAAAACTACCTTAGGAAGATATTCACCATACAGTGTTATCAATAGAACAATGGAAAAAGCATAATTAGCCCTGAGAAGTCACTGTGCTGGTATGGAAAGGTGACATATTTTTAATTGAAATAAAGTATACTCTGACATATGCAAAATAGTGGTTATCTCTGAGTGATAGGATCATGGGTGCATTTTCTTCTTTTTGCTTATTCTGATTTTTTAATAATGTATCACTTCTTTTTTAAAGAAAATATTGTAGGTACTTTTGAAAAAAATAAGCAAATCGGTAGTAATTTCTCTGAAGGCTTCCACTTACAGAAGTTTCTTATCATCTTTCTGCCCATCAGAGCTGGGTGAAGCAAATGGATTCTGGGACAATCCAAACCCTCTGTTCCTGCTAGTTGAAGCTCCAGAATCGAAGGAACTGAAAGATGACTTTTCTTGATCTCTGCTGCCCCCCCATGGTGTTGATTTGGAGAAGCTGGATGGCTGGATAACGCTGGAATATCTTTGGCTGGTGGTATTCCATCCACGTCTGTTACTACCTGAAAATAAACAATAAAACAATTTTATTGGCAATTCCTCTTTTAAATCTCTAAAAATTTCATTATATTATCTTACTATGTGCAGACATTATGTAAAGATTCAACAAGCACCACATTTCCACTCATTTTAAATCACAAAACTCTTCATTTTTTACTTATTTGTAGTTACTTGTAACCAACAAATCATGTAATGGTCTAATGGCATTTTTTGTTTAACAAGATTGAGAGGACTGCAAATCCATAGAAAAATAATGATATATTAGTAAGCTCAGCTGATATAACCTTATTAAGTAAACAATCCCTTGATAGTAGATTTAGGATGTATCCTAAATCATAAGCTCCTTCAGGATAAAAAGCTGTCTTTATCATTCTTTGCTCTCCTACTGGGCCCTATATAACGGTAATGTCTGAAAAATGGACAATGTACTAAAAAGTTTGAATATAAAAAATTAGATTCTACCCTCTGTCCTTGAATAGATGCCTAAATCTATTTGACTCAGTCTTACCTCTGGGAAAACAAGATCTACCCACCTATCTTTCACAGGGACGTTATAATTTACATGTGAATAAAATGTATTCAGTTCTATTATCAGCAGATTCTAATATTTCATAATTATCACAATAAGCCAACAGGACTCTCTTCCCCTGTATCTGTATTTTAAAAAATCTTGGGGTGCCTGGGTGGCTCAGTCGGTTAAGCGTCTGCCTTTGGCTCAGATCATGATCCCAGGGTCCTGGGATTGAGCCCCGCATCAAGCCCGCATCAGGTTCCCTGCTAAGCAGGGAGCCTGCTTCTCCCTCTTCCTCTGCCTGCTGCTCCCCCTGCTTGTGCTCTCTGTCAAATAAATAAATAAATAAATAAATAAATAAATAAATAAATCAATCAATCTTAAATAAAGTAAAAAAATAAATAAAAAATTTTATCACTTAAACTACCTCATTTACTCATCACTTCCTAGTTGGGGCCAAGATAATTTGCCTTGTTTCTGACTGAATTAAGAGATATGCCATGAAATATATTAAAAACTGGAATGATGGGAGATCTATTCCTTCATGAAAATTCATCTCACAACTTTAAAACTACTTAATAAAACCAAAGAGAAAAGGGAACAGATTGCTGGGCCAGATCCCTTATTTAAGGGTTAGTGGTATTTTATTTTTCTGAAGTTCCAAATCCTTTGCGGGATGACACAACTGAAGAAGTTCATTCTTTCTTTTCTATATAGCTTTTGGCCTTCACTTATTAATTATAGAAACATTCGTTTCTGGGAGATAAATACTGTTTACTTGATGAGTTTTATTTATGCTTTCTTCATCCATCAACCCATTCAATATTTATTTTCTAATTACTACGTCTATAGTGAGTCTCCACAGAATGTCAAATATTAAGTAACGTTTTTCCAGGAAATACACTCACAAATATCAGACCCCGAGTCCTAATTTTTGGTTTGGAATATTTCACAGGACTAATTGCGGGTGATGCAAAAGGACTGTCTTCAAGAAGAGGGATCAGACGTGAAACCACTATGCAACACAGATTAAGGGTCAGATGAACAGTCCTAAAAGAGGGAAGGGAAGGAAAGGAAAGGGAGGGGGTCAGCATCTTAAGATACTTTTAAGGACTAAGTTTCAATCCTAATAAAGACCTAACTATTCATCTGACCTTTAAAACCTTGTGTTGGGTTTCATTTCTGATCCCTCCTCTCCTTGAACACAGTCCTTTCACATCATCTACAATTGGCTTAAGTATTCCAAAAACTTTGACAATGACTTAGACCCAGGAAGTAGGTCAACGCGGTCCTCCACACCCTCTTCCCTCACAGCTCAGTTGTTTTTAAATAGGTTTATTTATTTTTAAAAGATTTTATTTATTTGACAGACACAGCGAGAGAAGGAACACAAGCAGGGGGAGTGGGAGAGGGAGAAGCAGGCTTCCCGCCGAGCAGGGAGCCCGATGTGGGGCTCTGGGGCTCGATCCCAGCACCCTGGGATCACAACCTGAGCCGAAGGCAGCCGCTGAGCCACCCAGGCGCCCCACAACTCAGAGTTCTTAACTGGGCAACCCACCCTTCCAGTTTTACCTCCAATGTTATGAGCATGTACATTCGCCTAAGGTAGAGCTTTGCAGCTCTATTAGATTTTCCAAAGGCGTCTGCTACTTCCCCAACGTTAAGCATCCAGGCTTTGATCCCAGCTGCTAGCCCTTCTCTCGAAAAAAGTTTAGTAACAATTATATTTAGGGTATCAAGGGAAAAAAAACAGTACGCTGAAGGGTAGTAAAGCAAGGAGGCGTCTGGGTCGAGCTACACCAATTCTCCGCACCATTACCACCCACAGACAAGGTAGTTTTGACACGTACTTCTGACCTAAAAACTCATTGTTTCGCATTAGTACCAAAGGCCAAGTCCCTGTCTTCATCCCCTCAACCACAAACAGCCAAATGCCTACACAGCGGATAGGAGCATTGTAGAAAACTGAGCCGGGCCCGGTGGGCGGGGCCGAAAAGAGGACAACGAGAGCACGTCAGCGTCACCTGACTGATGCGCCGCCGCGCTGCGCCGAGCGGCGGGCCCTACGCAGGACGCCAGTTCTCAGCCCGACGGCCCTGGCGCCAGGCCTCCCCCTGCTCCACCAGCGGCGGAGGATGGAGGAGAACGTCACCTGAGGGCTGTTGCTGCCGTCCTCCGCCCGCACCCCCGGCGCCGGGATGTTCGTTCCAGCACCGGTCTCCAAAGCGGCACCGGCCTTGAAGGAAGAACTGACAAATGGTCATTGCGACGGCGTCGCCCACGGAACGGTCTTCAGTCAGCACCCTCAGCGGACGGAGAGCCCAAAGCAACCGAAGGTCCTTCCCTGCTACCGTGACGTCATTTTCTCGCGCCCCCCCCCTCTTGTCCTGCCCTGGGATGAGAGGCGTAGGTTTTACCCAATAGGATTTGAGAAGAGCGGGGCGGCCCCCCGCACTCACTGAGTTGGGCTTGGGAAAAAGCGCAGTCCTTGAATGGTTAACGTGGAGGAAAAGGCGCGTTTGCGCGTGGGGCAGGGCTTCGGGCTTCAAGGAAAGCTTGAGGGTCCGGAATGAGAGGAGAGCAGGATAAGGAAATTTAGATTTTCAGCAAGGCCCTGGAGGGGAGGAATAGTTGTGGTTTGAGAAACCGAGTTGTATTTTTCATTTGTATTGTTGAGAAAGTAAAAATCCGCGCAGCCATTCATCAGGTGGATAACAGATAAAGCCAGTTATAAGGTAAACAGGAAACAGTGTTTCCTTCAAGGATATCCTGCAACTGAAAAGTATCATAACCCCATCTTTGGATAAACACTACATTCTTACACTCTGAGAAAGCTAGTTCTTTAAAGTCCACGTACACGCCGCTGTTTGAAATTGTATCAATAAGAATGAAACATACCACCCTTGCCTGGAGGAACTAAGACACTTTGACACAGAGAAGCAGTATCAATTTCTTCCCAGGTACAGAGCTTTCGATAAGGCGTTCCTGAAAAAAACATTACGTATTTTTCTTAATTTTGTAGTTTCCAAGGAAACACGATCCTACATCCACTTCTCAGTCCAGATCCGATGTTGGTGCCCTTACACACAGCTCTGCTTTGCTTTGAGCTTATAAAATTTTACCTAAAATCTACTTAGCTCACAAATCTTACAGTTGTCTTTTCCTTTGTATGGTGAGGCACCCTACTGTTGCTCTGGTTCGGAGTCTCCTTGGTTGCCAGGAGGCAGTAAGTATGACTTTGTTGGATTACAGGTTTGTCCCTGGTGGTTTAAGATGATTGGCCATTGTTCTTGCTCACATCTTTGGATTTTGAGTACAGTGGAATCTACAGGAGCACTGGGAATAACTGCTACAACGTTGCTACAACGTAGTTTAAAGTTTTAAAGTAATCTCTACTCCCAAGTTTATTTAAACCTAGTATGTATATATATATATGGGGCCCCTGGCTGGCTCTGGCAGTAGAGCATGCAACTCTTGATCTCAGGGTCATGAGTTCAAGTCCCACGTTGGGTGCAGAGCTTACTTAAAAAAAAAAAAATCAATTTATTTTGAAACGTGTTGAAGATTTACAAATACAGAATAAGAGACTGTATTGCAGACCTGATGCCCCATCACCCAAATACTTTATTTCCTACAAATACATTCTCCTACATAACCACAGTACAATCACCAAAATCAGGACGTTTATCTAATCCTTAGATTCTGTTCATGTTTTGCCAAATGTCCCAGTGTCTTTAAAAGAAAAAGATCCAGTTTAGAGTTATTGTTGCCTTACTCATATTTATTTATTTAGCCTTACTCTTATTTCTTTAGTCTCCTTCATCCTGGAACACTTCCTCAGTCTTTTCTTGACTTTCAAGACCTTCACACTATTAAAGATTACAGCTAGTTATTTTGTAGAAATTCCTCAATGCAGATTTAGCTGATGTTTTCTTGTGATTGGATTCAGATTAAGCATCTTTGGCAGGATTATTGCGGAAGTGATGCCGTGGTTTTAACATTGCACCTCTCAGGTTGTGTACAATTTCAGCTTGTCCCATTACCTGAGGTGTTCAACTTGATCACCTGGTTAAGGTGGTGTCTGCTGAGCTACTACAATGACTCTTTTCGCCTTTGTTATTAATAAGAATATTTTGAGGAGATACTTTGAAAGTATAAAAATGCCATTCCTCCCCAAGCTTTTTGGTTCTTTCATTTATTTATTCCTATCAGTGTGGTCTCCAATATTCTGTTTTTATTCACTGGGTTATAATCTATTACTGTCATTATTTTGAGGTTCAAATCATCCTCAATTTGACCAGTGAGAGACCTGTAATCTCCTTTGTTTTTTGACATATCCCATTAATTCTTTGAACACTTCTTTACTCCTTGGCCCAAAAGATGCTCTAGGCTCAATCTTACAGTTTCCCTGATCTAGTCCTAGAATCAACCATTTCTCCCAGGAGTTCTGGGTCTTTAATGGTACTTAGAGGCCAAGATCTGAGCTTTGAATTTTCTCATTGCTGTTGTGAGGTCTTTGCTCCCAAGCCCTTTCGTGAGCATTGCTAGGAAATATATACTATAGACATACATTTACATCAGTACATATTTCTGTATATGTATTAGAAACTATGAGTTTACGCTAATAACCTCCAGTTCAATCCCAAGACCACAGAATTTATTTTCCTCCTGTATTTCTAACTTCCTCCTTTGATAGTGAGAAACTTGGTTCCCACTATTCATACTTATTTTGAGCAATTCCCTTGTATTAGCCAGTTTCTCATTGTGGCCACTGACTTCTTGTCTATGCAAAGACCAACATGTGTAAGGACAATGCTGGGATCAAAGACCTAAAATAATGCCAGTGGTGGCTGAAGCTTAAATGAGAGTGGGCATGGTGCTGTGTGAAAGTGGAGAGGTAGGCAAGGCCAGATCCCAATTGAGATCATCTAGGTGGAGTGCTGATGAGACAATGGGAGACAATGGGAGCCTAGGGCTGAGGCATGCAGAATTCAGTAGTGATCAGTTAGGGCAGGGGTAGGTGGAAATCAAGAGTGGGGTCACAGGAAGGAAACTTCTAATTTCAAAATGGCACAGTAAAAATAGTTCTGCCCCCCTTTCCTCTTGAAAATCATCTCAAAGTAAGAGAAAACAAGCAAAAACATCATCTTCGATTATACTAGGAGATAACCATAATCTCAAACCACAATTTGTGAGGACTGAATGCACATGGAGGAATAGTAAATTACCTAGAAGAGAGGAGGAAAGTCCCATTCCTGAAAGGTGCACCCTGATGTCCCTAGGGAAGTCTGAAAAGCCTCAGAAATTAAGAGGCACCAGTTACTGTAGAAAGGTAGACTGAAAATCTCTATGGGTGCAGTTAGAATCTAGCTCCATAAATCCACCCAGTTAGGCAGCTATCCCTACCTGATGGGAGATAGGTTTTTTCCTTGAAAAAAAAAAGGGGGTGGGGTGGGGACAAGAGAGGCTTCGAGTCCAAGACATCAAGTACAGAGGGGAAGTTATGGTACTGACATTGCAAGCTATGTTTATTGAATGGTGAAGTACAGTCCTCTTTGCCTAAAGTCTAGAAATTCTGTAGCCAGCCTTAGAGTCCCCTTTTTCCCAACTTGCCCTACACACCCAAGGTGTAGGGGTTTGGAAGATTATTTTTTTGACAATCAAACATCCCAGAAAAGTATCTATAGATCTGATGGATTCCCAACAAAAATAGGTGGCCATTCCCTCATCATATGATGAAGCTCACTGATAATTAGGCCCACCTTTGCACACAAAAATTATCAACTTATTCAGTGTCTCATTTTAAATATAAATGTGCAATAAAAACTTAAATATATATTGATAAAAAAATAAATATAAATGTGCAGCCAGGGACCAGAAAAGAGCAAAGCAAACAGAAAAAATAAACAGACACACACCAAGTGTATAGAAAATGTTAAAGTATCTTTTTTTTTTTTTTTTAGGTTTTATTTATTTATTTGAGAGAGAGAATGAGAGAGAGCACAGGAGAGGGGGGAGGGTCAGAGGGAGAAGCAGACTCCCTGCTGAGCAGGGAGCCCGATGCGGGACTCGATCCCAGGACTCCAGGATCATGACCTGAGCCGAAGGCAGTCGCCCAACCAACTAAGCCACCCAGGCGCCCTAAACTAAAGTATCTTCAGAGAGGATAACACTAACAATGCTATATGAAATAATTATTTTTAAAGTATTTAGAAATTAAACATGGGTAGTGTAAACAAATTCAACAGATGGTTGGAAGATAAAATCAGAGAAATCCCCTGCAAGAATTGAACAGATCAGATCCTGAACCCATATTATAGCTGTTATTAAGGGTCAGATGAACAGTCCTAAAAGAGGGAAGGGAAGGAAAGGAAAGGGAGGGGGTCAGCATCTTGTGATACTTTTAAGGACTAAGTTTCAATCCTAATAAAGACCAGAGGCTTAAAGCTCTGGAAAGTAAAATCTTTCTAGTTAGTAACATTTCAGTTTCCCACCACAAACTTTTAAATTTTTATTTCTCCCAAAGTAGTTTGAATAGCCTTGAGAAGGAGGAAGTTAGGAAGATGAAAGTAAATTCAAGCTTTTAGGTCTTTTGAGGCAAATGTAAGAGGAGTATTTAAAGGATTTAGCACATGTTGAAGGATGCAACCTGAAAAATGTCTCTTCATATTACCAAATTATTGGGACTTAGTTTGGTGCCATGTTGGAGTGGATTGAATTTTCTGACATTGTTGGGGTATGTTAATGGTGTCACCCTTAAAAAGCAAAATTTCTGGGGCACCTGGGTGGCTCAGTCGGTTAAGTGTCCAACTCGATTTTGGCTCAGGTCATCATCTCAGGGTTGTGGGATCGAGCCCCAAGTCGGGTTCTGAGCTGGGCATGGAGCCTGCTTAAGATTCTCTCCCTCTCTCTCTGCCCCTCCCCCACTTCTTTTTTTTTTTTTAAAGGCAACATTTCCTTCAAATACTCCTTTATCCTGGCCTAGGCAGCAAATCTCAGTTTTTTGCTGTTAATAGTCTATAAGGCAAGAGGAATATAGACTGCTTGGTTAATAATTATTACATGGCTCATTTTTGTGAATCAAAATTTCCTGTAAGATTGTATGTCAGGTTTTTGAAAGCTAGGTCACAATTGTAATTAAGTACTGTTTTTTATAGCAACATTTTTTTTCAAGCCATTAAACTTTCATGTTCAAGTTGTGATTTTTAAAAGTATAAACTAAAAACTGCTGTGTCATCAAAATAGTGTCACTGCAAAGGATGGAACATTAACATATCCCATGTTTACTAAGAAGAAAACTGAGCCCTTTATATGAAGGACAGGAATTTTGTGGGGGATAAAAGGAATAGAAAAAA